CAGCCCGAAAGTGGAGCCCAGGACAGAAATGAGATATGGATATGTTTGATTGTTCAGGCATAACACTAGTACAGTGCTAAGCGGTTCTTGTGGGTTTGGTTTTTTGACCTTCAATGCGCTACTCCCTACAAGAATGCGTCCTCAAACTAGGTGTTGGGCCCTTCACTAACCCTCATTCACCTGTAAGCGAGGGGTCCAAGCACTGTTTAGGGCACCATGCTCAGGGTTACCAATTGATCATGGTCAATGTGGATGGACTAAGAACGATAAAGCTCAATATCATGTAAATGCTTATCCTGGATCTGCGGCCCTTGGTCCTGGTACGATTTTTCAGGCAACTAGGTCCAACCTGAACAGTTGTATGCCAACGTTGACCATTTAAGTTCAAAGCTTCTGCAGTCTCTTACCTCATGACTCTGACCAACCTTTTTGGGCCGTGTGCACCAATCTTTTGAAACGTCTTACACGTCTTTTTGCATGTGCGTGCCGCCCAAGTCAGGAGCAGCGTATGTATGTTCAATTGTTCCTCCCTTTGTGTTGGTTGCTTTTGGTTGTAATTGTATTTGTGGTACTTCTTCACGGTCACTGTCCTGAATGTCTCCATAAGTCTCCATTCATTCTACACATCTCGATGAATCTATACCAATGTCTCTCCACCGGTCGTACGCAGAGCAGAATGTCTCCAAGTCGCGTTTGCTGGAGGAAGGCGCCTAAGGCCTCAGCAAAGTCCTCTGCCACCCGCCAAGCGCCGCGGAATGTGCGCGAGGTGGAGACAGAGGAGCGGCGAGAGAGGTGTCCATGTACACTCCCCAAGGCTGTGCTGATGAGAAAGTGCTTGAAGGTTCACGCTTCATTCTTGAAGAAAATGCTTGATCATTCACGCTGTGATGGTCGCAAGACGACAAACACTAGGTCCAAAATGGTCCAATGGCTTACCAGCGTTGTGCCAGGACTTTGGTGAAGGATACCCTCCCTGGATGAGCGAACGCGTTCGCAAGGCTTGTTCCAAGTACCCCAACTTCTCGGGAAAGTTCATTCAAGAAATGGAAGACGCTTGGGGAACATCATCGAATCTGTTGGCATGTGTCCAAAATCCACACTGGACCAGCGAAATCTGACCAATGACTTCCTGTCGGACCTGTCGTTGTGGCATAAGACGCACAGGGAACAAAGACTGTTGTTCAAGCCCCATCTTCTGAAGCAAGTGACTTACTGTAATCTGGGAAAATCCTCACAGCTAAGGATTGGTCTTTGCAGGCCGGACCGCTTTGGGGTTTGATTATATATATAATACATGTTTGACTGCGGCGCAAACCTCTGCGTTGAATCGTGCCTGTACTACCTTTCGTATCATTCCCTCATGATTTTGCCTGGGCTAATGCACAAGATTGGGTCGAGGATGTGGAGATGTACCTTTACTCCAATGGGTTCCTGAAGCCGAAGAAACAAGCGCAAGTTCCTGCTCTGCAGGAAGCTTTTGACGGCTAGTCATATGCGATGGGTTGGATGATGGGAGCCGCCTTTGGCCAGCTCAAACTCTTTTTTGGGTGCTCTTCGAACCATGCATCGCGATTCAGATCTTATGACACATGATGAAGTGAAAACGTTAGTCATATCATGTCATGTCATGTCCAACAGATACCGGAAGGCACTGTTGCTGCAGTTGCTTTTAAATGCGTTCGGCGTCCAAGGCCAAGCCGAAGCCTTCACGCTCACATTACCAGCTCCTTGGGGTGGAGGAGGGTGCCAATGCCAGCGAGGCCGAAGCTGGCGTGTGTGCTCCCCCCATCTCTCGCCTTCAACTATGCACAATGATTGCAATATGAATATGCTTTAAACTTTACGGGCCAAAGAGAAGGTGTTCGAGGTGTTGCTCATCTACATACATTGGTGACATATTTTTCACGACATGGTTTTCTTGGACAGCACCAGCCACACTTCCCCTCGCTGCCAGATCCGCAAAGCTTACAGACGGCTAGCCTTGATCTATCATCCTGACAAGAACCCAGAGGATCCGGAGGCAGCTGCGGAGACTTGTCCTGAAAGTCCGAGAGTGGTGCAGTTGGCAAGACGTTCTAATGGTTCCAGTGGGGCATTTGGCAAAGCTAGAGCACACACAAATATCCCAGCTTGACGTTGTGAGGCTAAGCATGTCACTGAGAGATCTGTGTGAAGGCAAGTTTCCCAGCTCGTTGAGAGCTGGACATGTAGCAAGGAATCCAGAGCCCTGTCTAAAAGAACACCGTTTTTGGTCCCTCATGTCACAAGTTTCATGAACATTCGTGCCGATAACATTTGAGGCACAAGAGAGGACGCTTTTTGTTGAAAGGTGAGCGGGTGCCGCGAATGCTTGGAAACCAGCCCCCATGATTTTTTTAACGTTTGAAGCCACCGGACCGGTGAGTGATCGATTGTCGCATTTGTCATGGCCCATTCACGTGTGGACCCATCAAAAGGTGAATGTGCCGCGCTTGCTCCCCGAGTTTGAAGGCAAATTCCGACCGGCCAGCCCATCCGGCAGTGATGCTTGACTTTGACGAGGTTGAGTTGCAGCCGGCATACAGTTGAGAGCTCTGCCAAGCCTGCGCTGAGCATGGTGCACGTGGTGGTACCTTCAGCGATGATGGATGGTTGGATGCCAAGGTGGTGGAGGATATTGGAGGATCAGTGCATCTTTGGCACTCAGCTGCACATGACGCGCGGTATCTTTTTGACAATGGACAGAGTTTGGCAGGCCCCCAATCGCTGGGGGTGAGAACTTCTGGCAAAAGGGCCGCACGCCCGCTCGCGCTGCGATCTGCCAATGCCAATCCAAAGAGGCTATCGAGAAGGGTAGAAGAATGATCCTTCGACCCTGGAAAATTCGTCTATGCATACCAGGAGTTCAAGCGCAAAAACGACAGATGGGGCTGGCACCATCATTGGCAGGGAAGGCCAAAACTATTGGCGCGCACATGAAGCCAGTGTGTTTTCTGCGCCCCCGGGCACTTGAGAGCAGCCACCCGTGAACAGATCAATGAAGGCTTGCGGACTAAGATGCCATGAAAGAGTTTCAGGCGCCGCCCCAAGACGAAACCAACGATGAGTATGCGACGATGTGCCCTTGTCCATCAAGAAGGGTCACACACCTTTTCTCACAAGATGGGCCATCTCTCCTCGGGGCGAAACATTTAGAGAAAGAGTTGCCGTGGCATGCCGACCACAGCTGAAAGCCGTGAGAGCACTGTCCTTGCATGAGAGCGATGAAGGAAAATCCTGAACCCAAGATTCTTCAACAGGGGCACGAGCTATGCAGAGAGGAAGGCCGACAAGAAGTTTGGCCTTCAAAATAACGGATTTGCAACAGAGGCGGTGGTTCATGGAGGTGAGACCATGAAGTGCACTTCATCCACAGAGTGTGATCGAGCCTGCGTCTTCATGAAGGGCTCTGGCGCTCTGGCCAAAATACTCCAGCCATGTGCTTGTCCCACGTGGACGACATCATGTTATATAGTTGTGGAGAACAGCCTGAAGGTGCAAGACAAGATCAAAATACGCCTGGAAAACGACAAGTTCAAATATGTGGGACGCGAGTGTGATCTTGACCGTATCCTTGTCAATCAAAAGGTCGACACTTGTCACAGGGTGGACAAAGTAAACATCCCAGACCGCGCGCCTAAAACCACTGCGGAGCAAAAACAAGAGAACTGACCGCCATTGGATGCCTGTCGTGGTTGGCAAAACAGACATCTGCAGCTTGCAACTTGCCAGGCCCCACACAAACTGCAACGGGCCACGGTGGGCGATCTCAAAGCAACAAGAAAGATCATCCTTGCCAACCAGATGTTCAAAGACAAGGGCTCCAAGCTCTGCAAGATCAAGGAGGAGGACATGTGCATTTTGGTATATCATGACGCCGCGTCGCTCGTAGACGGTTGGGGCCCCGCACTGTGGCCACCCTCATCCTTATAGCTGACAAGGCGAGGCGCCTCATGTCAGAAGGAGGTCGCTTCAGTGTGATAGAGTGGAAACACAAAGCCTCGCGACAGGCGTGCCGCCCGACATTCACAGGTGGACGGCAAAGGGTATTGGCTACATGGTGGATGCAAAGGCAAAGGCTGCGGGCAAGGAAATGGAGATCCACCTAGCGGCGGACTGCCGCGGCCCTTTTGTGACCATGTGCATCGTACAGCGACCGCCCAGCGAGAAGAGGTTGGCCATCGACCACTTCTTTGGCTCCCAACAGCTGGCATCACCTGTCTTATTCGGACGGCGTGCAAAAAACACACCTTTTCGGTCCCAGGCATCGTGTCACAAGTTTCATGAACATTCGTGCCAATAGCGTTTGAGGCACAAGAGTGGACGCTTGCTGTTGAAAGGGGAGGGGTGCTCATGAGTGCTGCGCAATGGCACCCTGTCTAAAGCCATTGGGGTCGGTGAAAAAGTTCGCCAACGTGTAGGGGCTAAAGATAATTTTAAACGAACCAAAAAACCCACTGGCATGGGCAATCAGGAGACTTTTCGACGACTGGCAGATGCCTATGAAGCTTTGATGGCTGCCGCCGACGTGGAAGATGTGGCTGGCTAATGTTTGTCCGGCTGGCTTCGGAATTATATAATTCAATGCAGGCTGCGCTTTGCTACACTGCCCGCCGGGCACTCCCTACAGTCCAATGCGCAAAATTGTTGTAGATGTTGTCTAGAAGATTTTAGAAGTATCATTCAAGCTGTGGCCATCCGTTGTGCTTAGTGTTGTGTTTCTGTTGAACCTTGGCAAGCTTCAGTACAGCTGGATAAGGGTGTGCCCGTCGCAGCTTTGCGGGTATGGACGGTTATATGAGCCTGATCAATAATTATGTCCTTCTGAACAGAATGGGTGCCCGAATGGCCCCCACGTGGAGTTTCAACTCATAGCGCGATGTAGCACGCAAAGTAGCGAGTTGCATGTTCCAACATTGCCCAAGCTCTACTTTGACTTGGTGTCGTTTGCCGTGGCATGCCGTGGCCATCCGTGGCTTGAGGCTGTGCACCAGGAAGGTTGCAACGTGCACCTGCCTCAGAACTCAACTTAGCCCAGCCACTGGCAGCAGACCGTGCGGACCAATTCTAAATTTTCCAGCCATCGGATGAGGCCGGTTTCCAACCAGCCACAGGCCGTGCCGTTCAACTTCATTTTGGTCCACGCCTGCAACATTGCAACACCTACAGTTTCCATATGTTGCCATTTGCAACTAATTAGTAAACATTCATAATAATAGCAACAACGGTTAAAAAATGATCAAGATCAAAGGCTGAATCGCCTGCCTGTTTGTTCTGGCGATTTGGATTGAAACCAGTCGTTTGACGTCAGTAGAACAATGCAGTTGCATTGTATACCATCATGCATTGTCCTGTTACACTTTCACTCTTCGAGACGGTCGCTTCCTTGCAGGCCTCGGTTCCACAGGGTGTGGTCCTCAGTGATTGCGCTGTGGGGGGGCCATTCTCACTCCCAAAGTTTCAGCACGGGCGCTGTTTCGCCTGGACGGTCGTGATTGGGAAGAACCCTTCTTGAAACAATTGAAGGCAACTGTACTCCCCCAGATAAGAAACAAGCGAAACAACGAGGGCGGTGAGACGAGCTAGCATGTTTGCTCAACGACAAAGGGGGGCAGAAAAAGTGGAAGAGACTTCCAGATGAATTTATACTTAGCAATTTACAGGAGGTTGATTTGCCGCAAACTTCAGGCACATTTGGTCAATTCTTGAGACTTGCTTTAACTTTGTCAAGATCAAATCTCCCCTCACGAAATGCATATTTCCAGCCCAACTTTCTGGGCAGGGGTAATATACAATAGTTTTATAAAATTTATGTTGTGTAATATATTATATATAACTATATATATATATATGTATCTCTCTTCAAGTGTTTCTTCCAGGGCACTACTGCAATGCCCCACATAGCAACCACATTGATTGAAGAGGTCTAATCCATTGGAGCTATCCCAGTGGTTGCCGTGTGCATTTATAGCATCATGAACTCACATGGAATTGCTCAGGTGTACCGAGCCGCACTCCCGAGGCCATCGCAGTGTTTTGAAGAATGCGACTACTGTATCCCAACCCACAAACCAACGACATGTTACGAAGGCTGCATGTAAGGCTGCATATAGATACGTCGTGCTATTGTGTTCCATGTTACTGCAAATGCAACTTCCAGGGTCCGGCGCAAGGCTCTTGGAAATGACAGACTGGCATGATATGTAATGATGTGTGCCTTCTCCATCCGCACCTTCCTGCTGGTCAGCGGCAGCTAAGCTAAGGAGCCCATACTGCTCTGGATCGAGCATGTCTTGAGTTCATGACCTCATCATGCTCCATGATGCTCAACAATGCTTCATGTCCATCACACCTTGCCGCCAGGCTTTGGTGAGGCCTCAAAAGCCCAGGCCAGCAGTTGCCTTGACCATTTTGCCCAGAGAGCGCGATTTCAATGACCTTTCGTTACCTTCCATGATCAGAGCAATGACCTGTTTGAGTTGCAGTGAGATAGCCTAACTGAAGGCCTCCACCAGAGGAAGTGACCTTGCTCCGGCGGATGCTCAGAGACGCTTGCTAGCATTTGATGCGGCTCTGCTACCTCGCAGAACTTGGGTGGACGTTCACCGTCAACAGGTCTTCATGTGCCACACCCTGTGCTTCGATGCCATAATTATTGTATTGATGTCCTACCTTGAGTCAATGATTTATCGATGATGTACATTGTTCTTTCCATGCGCAGAGGAGAAGAGAACCAAGCGGCCGTCAGTGCTATACGCAATGAGCTGTTTGCATATACAAGTGTGAAATTAGTAGTCTATTCAGCACGGCTGGATGATCTCTCACTTCCCCTTCCCACTAGTTCCCCTGTAGAGCCCAGGGTGGAAGCTCGATAAAGAAGCAAGCTTTGTAGGCTGTTGTTGGGTTGTTTTCAAGGTAGTGTTGACTCTAATCGTAATGCTTTGGAACCCAGCTCTTGGGATTGCTGCCAGAGACCTATTTCTGGATCACTTGGAACACCGAGGAGCACCGACAGGCTCAGCTGGATTCCTCACCCAGGCCGCCTGAAACATGCTAGTAGCTTCTTGTTCCTAGTAGCTTCTTATATATATATAGTAGTAGTAAGGCCAGGAGCCCCTAGTAGCGTCCTTGCTCCTAGTAGCGACGCCAGGGGCCCCTAGTAGCTTCTTGTTCCTAGTAGGCCAGGAGCCCCTAATGCCCTTTGCCACTATCTTGCATACTATACCATGGGATGGTCAGCCAGCTGATGGGGACACAACTTGTTGATGCGTTGTGTCATTCTAGGAGGCATGCTGCTTGTTGCCCGACCTGCGAGGTCAACTGGCACACCCCGGCGCCAGGAAGCAACTCAAGCCTGGCCTTCAATCTTGCAGCCATAGCCTTGAAGGAACTGAGTGAAAATGATATCCTATCGGTGTTTCATCATGGCATTTCTGGCACATGTTCAGTTTCTTGGACAGCTTTTGGCCTCGCCCAGGCGACGATCGCTGCAGCGGCCCATGTATCCCATGTGGAGGTCTGCGCACCTTGAGATGTGATTTCTTGAGCGCAGCGCATGTTCTTTACACCTGCATTGGCGTTCAAGACCAAGGGGTTCATGTCACTTCTAGATTTGCGATGTAGGCTCGGGGTAAGCCCAAATTATCCTTTTAAACTCTTTTTCGTATATGTAGATATAGATACATCTCTCTCCTACAAGATGGAATGCAGTTTTGGAGACCCAAAAGCCACTCGACTGAAAAAGGTACCCGCAACCGCGGATACTTTTGGCCAAAATTTTGGACACTCTAGATATATAATTATCAATTATTATCAACACTTATCGACATCTGCGGTATATGCGGGGGATGCATTGACTAAATGTGGAACGTGCTTGCAATTGTTTTGAGCCATGCGTAGGCACAGGAACTTGGAATGCTGGTCTGTAGCTGTGACACGAAACTGAAAGAAACAAACTATATTTTCCAAAATGTATGTAGCATTGAAACTTGGCATGCCCAAAAAATGGACGGGGGGTGTGCAGTGAATGAGCATTTGCGTTAAAAGATGCCGGCATTCTAACTTTCAGCTGTGGTGCGTCTAAGCGTGGATATTTCAACGCATTGTCCTTCCCACTTGGAAACATTTTATGTCGTGGAAAACCATAGGACTCCCACAAGTGTGAATTCTGCAAGGAAGAGACGACAATGAATTACATGTACTGTATTTCGTATATTTAGTTGGGTGATCGAGTTTCCATATTTGACCTTATCGCTCGCCCACAGCACTGAGGACTGTCACACTTCCTATACACATCCGAACTTCCTGCTGCAGGGCATCTGAAAATGCTTGCCAGGAGGCAATTCCAACTTTTAGTGGACGGACTGGGCCCGTCTTCTGGCCTTTGCCCTTCTTTGCCAGTGCAGTCCCGGCCTTTTCTCCTCCACTTCTTTTTCATGAGCCTTGTTGACATGCTGCTTGTTGTGACGAATTCCTTTGAAAAAATGTTTTCCATTGGCATTTCCCTCCTTTTTGGACACTGTCTAGTGTATGCTTTCGAGTCGCGGCATTCAAAGTATGCCCGTTCGCTTCTACGTTTTCCTGCGCTTTCCTTTCTCTCCATCCTGGCCATGTGTTTTCTTTGTCTACCAAGAGTCTCGGCAAGCTGCCCAAAAGTCACGTTAAGCCCTTGGCATCGAAAGTCAAAATTCTAAGTTCATGCGATTGCGCATGGGCTTGGTAGGTTCCACGACTACATACAAAGAAGTTGAAAACGCTGGCAAAACACAGTGAACATCGTGTTTCTGTTGCACTTTCGGCTACAAATTCCTTGTACTTTTAACCCTTTTGTTGACTTCTGGATTTCCAAAATTGCATTCCATCTTTTGTTCGGAAAATGACACGCCGCGTAAACATATGTATAATATCCCGGCAAGAGACCCCAAACAGTGTGTGTGAGGTCTAGAGGTGTAGCAGCAGAAAGTCTAGAAATCTAGACGCATTGCGGTCCAGAGAGGTAATGGTGGTGATGAAGGCGGAGATCGTGGTGGTGGTGGTGGGTGAGTGAGTGAGTGAGTGAGTGAGTGCGTGAGTGCGTGAGTGCGTGAGTGCGTGAGTGCGTGCGTGCGTGGGTGGGTGGGTGAGTGAGTGAGCGTGTGTGAGCGTGTGTGTTGAGAGTGAGTGAGAGTGAGTGTGAGTGAGATTGGAGAGAGTGAGATAGAGTGAGAGCGTGCTGAGTGAGAGTGACTGAGAGTGAGAGTGAAAGTGCGAGTGAGGGAGAATGTGAGGGAGAGCGAGTGACAGTGAGAGAGTGAGAGTGAGAGTGAGAGAGTGAGTGGGGGTGAGAGTGAGAGGGGTGTGAGTGAGAGTAAGTCAGAGTGTGTGAGTGAGAGCGAGCATCTGAGAGCACAAAGTGCTGCGCCTGCCACGAAATCTGCACTCTGACTTCACAAAATGCGGCGCCTGCCACGAAGTCTGCACTTCGAGGTTCACAAAGCGCTGCGCCTGCCACATGCACTTCGAGTCGAGAAGCATGAAATGCTCTGTAAATAACAGCGAACTAGCCGTACCCGACCGCGCAACACCTCGATCAGACACCGGTGCTTGACGACAAGTAAGAACCCCTAGTCTGTCCACACTGATTGGGGAATTTAGATGGAAACTGCATGACCCAACACATCTACATGCTGAAGGCAACTTGCCCGTCAGTATTGATGGCTTGGTGGCCCACACCTGACATTTAGACTGTCTTCGAAAGACGCCCTCAAAACTTTCAATAATGTAGGCTGCGGGTACTTTCAATAGTGGTATTCTAAGTTTGCCTCACTTTGTGGAAATTGGCAACATTTTTTCAAAAAATTACAGAAATGAGCCTCTCATGAGGCCAAGCCGCCGTCCGAGCCCTCAATGGCGCGACGTTGGAATGCTGCGACCTGAGAAGGTCTGGAGAACCCGTGTTGACTCTTGATCCATTTGTTTGAATTCCCATGCAGAAGACATTGGCTGCATTGCCACCTGATGAACGATCAGCACTGGATTGAGGCCGAATGTGCAACAGCCTTTCTTGGCAGATGCCTTGCAGAGCCCCAGCTGCATAAATAGACAGTTTTCTTGACTAGTTCTTATTCTCATCTCAGCATATATTTTCCAAGAGGAAGGACATGCAGATGTCAAAGGCTCGCCAGATGTTTCTACAGACGCCAAAGGGCATTCGGCACCCCGTAACTTCACTAATTATGCTTTCCAGAGGAGTCAGACCGGCTACGGTGTGAGAATTGTTTTGAATCAGTACTGTGTAAAAGTAGGCAGGGAACCTGCTCGTTCCACGCGTTTTAGGCATCCTGATTGGAGTCGTGTTGCCTTCGGAGGCACAGGTCCGCAGCATCCAGACCAGCTTCTCCACCTCAGCCTGTTCCCAAGAGACTGTACGCCTTTACAATAATCCTATATAGATATGATTTATATATACAATAATATACATTTATATATATATATATCAGGACATACATATATTGCGCCGCCTTTCTTTGCCAATCTTTGGACTTGCGATAGCACAAGGCCTTGAGTGCGTTTGATACAACGCTCTGGCGTGAATGACATTTGCCTTCGACTGGCAGGAAAAGGAACTGCGTATGCAGTTGATTGGTGAAAGCTGTTCCGTTTGTTTGTGGGTGACCTACATATAGTAGCTGACCAACCTCAGAAGTCTCTCGCAGCAAAAGGATAGAGGTTTGCAGGAAGCTTAGGGTCTCCCTTGCAAACTCTGAAGCATCAATCAAGCAGTGAGTGAGCCAGGTGGTCAGCTAGAGTGGTGAGCCGGTGAGTAATGCATAGCAATGCGGGCGTAGCATTTTTAGAATGTAAAATGTGTGCTTGAGGCCAATACATCGGCAACGAGGACTTCAAGAGGCTCAAGAGCGGCTACATGAGGCCAAGGCACACTCCGTTGCCATGAAACGTGGTGAGTTACAAGCACTGCGGTTAAAATTAAAATGCTCGCATGTGCTCAACGGCACAGCAGCCAATCGCAGAAATGTACACCGAATGAGTTCTGAGAGCAGGTTTCCGGCAGCATGCTTAGAGGCTTAGAGAGTCAAAAGCGTCAATTATTATGTAATGCAGGCAAACGTTGGAAATACAAGCGGCTGCGGATGCATACCGTTCTCGCGCCATTCTGCGTTTGTTTTGAGCGTTGATCCTCCATTCCTCTCCTCGGTTTCACTTGGATACGGCCTTGCTACATTGTTTGTGATAGGCATACCAGGAGCTTCTAGAGTTGCAAGAGATACAGCGGCGTTTGCAACACATGGGGCTGGAGGAAGCCCAAGTTGTCATGGCCTGAGTTTATTTTTGCAATGCTTTTTGGGGCAGCTGTTTATCACATCAGATCATGCCAAGGCAATAATTGCTCGCTAAATAGCAAAGAGATTATGTGTCCAAAGTTTGCTTGTTTGTGCTGCCGTTCATCACCTTGCAAAAGTTCAATGAGCAATAGTCGGAGAGCCCGTACTGCTGCTTATTAGCTACCAGAGCAAAACGCACTGTTAGAGCTATTGCTGCCTCAATTCTGTTTCACAGCAAGGCACCCCTCGTTTGCAGTAGTATAGTCGCGACAAGGCAACATCAACCTATAATCAATACCCAGTTTCAGGTCAATGAACATCCAGCGGCTGCAAGTGGAGGCCTCATTTTTATCAACGCTGGCAAATGACCAACGATGTTTTCTTGAGTGTGGATTGTGGAGGTTGACTTTGGTTTCAATACTGAACGAAATGGCGAAATGCTAGATTATGTAATTGTCACACTGGTTCGGGCACTTCTTGAAATCCTATGTGCCAGGCAGTAGCTTCAGATCATGGATGCCAGAGCGGCCGGTTGAGAAATCGCCCGACATGCTGGTTCCTGAGACAGAGACACCATGTTGAATGTAGGTTTGGGCGGTCACCCTTTGGTTCTGAATGCAATTGAGTTAAGCAGGATGGATTGGACAAGGTTCATGTTATTCAAGACTGCACACTTGTATGAGTCATGTGAGTGCTTGAGCAATTAACATCAATTAACAGTTTAACAGATGCATTGGCGGATGCATCTCCGTACGGGGCAGAATGATGTCTTAGCTGTCATCACCAGAGTTGTGGGGGCCACCTAGAGACTAAATTCATGAGCCAGTGCTTCTCATTCTCACCAGACCTACTTTTCGATACCTGTCATGCACAGAGATTGTTGGTGTGAGTAGGTGAATGGTACAGGCTGAAGAGAGTTTTGAAGATAGTTTTCGGAAGATTCCAGCAGGCACCATGTGGTAGAGTTGTGCGGTGTAGATGTTGGCTTTCTCCAAAGAAGAGAGCCCATTAATCTCTGGCAATCCCAAGGCCAAACGTCCGCTTTCCTCAGGCAGCAGGCCTATATGCGCTTGTGATTCGCGTATTGTGCAGGGGTTCCGCAATGGTGTCCAGTGGCGTTTGACGGGACGCCTTCGAAAGCTCACTCACATCCCTTTTGCTTCCACCGATGGTGCAATTTGATTCTACTGTTGGCTGCAGGTGACGGCCCGCAATGGGGCGACTTGCAACTGCAGCTGCACGAACAGCCCTTTGGCAAGAAAGGAATGGGGCATGATCAGCATCTCATCATCTACTATTCAAAGGTGGGAGCATTGGTTGGCGGCAGCTTAGTCCGTTCCAGCCTTTTTGGTCTAGACATAGCAAGCATGGGCGTAGTCGTATAGTGCCACTCAGTTTGGCATCCTAGTGCTCGATTCCTGTCCAACATTCCACAATCATAATCTCCACTGCCTCTTGACAGATCCTATTAGGTTGGAGGCCATTGCTAGTAGGGTGGAGGCCATTGCTATTATTAGGTTACAATTCGAAGGCCACATTTGAGGCTCGAAACGCTGCGGCAAAAGCTTCGCAGCCACTCGACAAAAGAGCTGAAGACGGAGGCCATCAAGGCAGATGCTGATATTTGGCTTAAGTTGTTGAGTGCCAGGTGCCAAGTGAGCTGTAATATGTAGAAGGAAGGGAGTAATGAGCAACTCCATCATGCATGATCAGCCCTGCAGAAAAGCAACCATACATGTAATTATACAGTAATATTTTGGGAACAGGGAAGGTGGGTGCGTTGCTGCACTTTGCAACCTGAAAGAGAGTTGGGCCTCAGAGGACTTGCAGACCATCATGGGCGGGTGTCCAAAAATAGTTTAAGATGCATCATGCTAATTCACGAAGATTGTGTGTGGCTGTCCTCGTCCCGTTGGTGCAAGGCAGATCGTAGCCTTGAGGCGCAGGCAGGATTTGCTCGGGTGCTCAGGTTCCTGTACATCAACTAGCGAGGTTGTTCACACACACACACATCGATAGAGAGTTCATCCGAGTGATAATCCGGAAAGGAATGCTGTGGAGTATTTATACATATAGTTAGTGCAAACCCGGCGGCTGCATTAGACTCAGACCTTTACTGGAGAGTGGAGTGAACAGCTTGCACAAAAGTTCAAAAGTCCCAGGTATGCTGATCAGTCCCAGTATCACCAAGGCTTAGAGAGTGTCTTCGTTGGTGGTAGGCTCTTTGCCTTGCTACCACCCCCCTGCTTGAAAGTGGTCTGACAAAGAAAGGGACCCTTTGGTACAGTGTGGGGCACACACACACAGAGCGCCGCATTGCAGCGCGAACTTGCATTAAGAAGGTAACAACGCAGTAGACAGCTTAGGAAACACTTAAGTTCTAAAAAGTGAATACTTAGCCCTTGACTGGAAAAACGAATACTTAACACTTGACTGAAAAAGCCTGGTTACACACCTGAAAAAGCCTCTAGAGAAGGTCAGAGCTAGAAAGAAAAACAAAAGGCAAGAGAGAAAGAAAGAACCCATGGAATGTATATATTCCTGAACATGTGAATGAAATATCCGTTGAAAGATTCGTGAAAATCCGTAGGCTCGGCGGCTTAAAAGCAGTTGATCCGTGAAGGACAGTTGAGCTGTTAATGGCAACCCGATGCAGAGACGGCTGAAAGTGGCAGTCCGGAATCCGGAAAGGTCTCAGCGCCCGTTGCGGGGATCACGCTACGCACCCAAGTGGGAAAGCGTAGCAATACACACTTCGATAGGGAGTTCATCCGAGTGAATCCGGAAAGGAATGCTGTGGAGTATTTAGTTAGTGCAAAGCCGCAATTCTGGGTCGGTCAATTTGAAGGTGGTATAACAAATGCCAATCAGCTGCAAACGGCAGAGCAGCGGCTGCATTAGACCTTTACTGGAGAGTGGAGTGAACAGCTTGCACAAAGGTTCAAAAGTCCCAGGTATGCTGATCAGTCCCAGTATCATCACCAAGGCTTAGAGAGTGTCTTCGTTGGTGGTAGACTCTCTGCCTTGATACCACCCCGTGCTTGAAAGTGGTCTGACAACGAAAGGGACCTTTTGGACAGGGTGGGACACACACACACACACCAACACACCACAACAAAAGGGGGTTCCATGAGACGTGCGCCGGATTCTTTATCAAGGTGTTTGCCTCAAAGTCGCTTGAGTGGATATTTGAATTTTTGGTGAGGGACAGCTAAAATTCCAAAGATCATGTTTGCTTGACACAGGGTCTTAGTGTCACAGGGTGTTTCAGGTGTACATTACAGTGTCTATATTATTCTAAATTGTTTATGACGAAGTATGACACCAAGCTGATTACCAAATTGGAGGCACAAAGGCCCTTTCCATGTGAGGCTTGTGCCCCATTGAACTGGAAAATGTCACGTCTAAGGCAGAGTTCATGAAGCGCCAGCACGACTCCTTGGCTGAGCGGCTTTTTCAGTCTGGGTTCATTCCAGAGCCTTGGCTCCGCCTGAGTCGTTGTTGCAGCTACCTTTTTCCTTGAAGATTTGAAGGCGTGATCGCGAGGAGATGGCATTTGCTTGTTGTGCACCGCGTTCACTTTCCCAGGGCATTTCTGGAGCCTCTGTTGCTTCTAGGCTTGGAGCATGTGTCGCGCGTTTTTGTAGCGCGGAGCATGGCACGCAACAAAACATGACTCACATTCCGCTTCGAGTCGGTCTTCCAATATATAATTTAGCCAGGAGGTTGACCACACTTACTGAACACATCCAGACTTTGCAACATGGCTTAACGGTTTAACTCTGTTGAATGGCAGCAGCTTAGCCATTGTTCCCCCATTGTCGTGTCAGCAGCTTCACGGCGCTCAGGAGTTGAACGCCTCATCTGGAAGCATGAGCACGGTCCTTCCCACGCCGATGCCTCAGCTCAGCTGAGCTGAGATTTTTTTTGAAATGAAAGGGTTTATAATTACAAGATGTAACCTTCAAAAGGCTGGCGTAGGCAACCTGCTTGGGGACGTAGGCGGTCGTAGGCATTGTATGGTCTAATGTTTGCCGTAGGCGACTGAAATCGACTGAAATAGCATGCCTTGAAGTCACCCAGCTTGCGTTTCTGATTCAAATTAGAATTGACAGTGTTTTTTTTGTTTCAGTTTCTTGTAGCAGATGTCTTTCATCCCATAGTCTGAGACATGAACCCGGGGCAGTTTGCAAGGGCACCTAGAATGACCACCAGAGAAACACGCAAGACATTGCAATGCAACCACACTGCCAAGACTACCCGGGAGGTTAGAAAGGCCACTGTTTCTGTGTAAGAGGTGAGAACTCCCAACAATGTCCCAAAAAACTCTTTTGTGTTGTTTTCCTGGGGACATTTTCCGTAGGCTCACCGTAGGTTCTCCGTACAGGCACCGTAGGCGAAAATGAATTTTTTGATCCTCCCCCCATGTCCGCTTGCCTATAATAGTACTCTCAAATAGATGTTAAAACCTGCTGTTCTGAGATGTATTCCCAATGTCGAAGACATGGGGAGACTATACGCGTCAGTGCACGTTCCGCATGGTATCGTCCCTCGCCTCCGAAGTAATGTCCAAAACTCATGATGAGCGTGAAGTCGTTGCTTGCTTGTCTTCCGTTGTGGAGCACATAGCCAATGAAACCAACTTGCCCATCGTAGAGTGCCAAGCTCATCATCTGAAAGATAAAGGGTCAGCTGCTGCGTAAACGTTTCCACTCGCAAGAACTGCATGGTACCGTAGGCAAATTGGAACAGTAATGCTCCAAAACCTCACGTTCGTAGATTTCCCGTAGGCGATGTGGAATAAGCCATGTCTGCCGTAGGCTTTCACTGTGGAAACGTAGCCAAACCATGCCAAACCGTAGGGTTCTACGTAGGCACCCAAGGATGATAACACCACCACATCTTTGCTGTTTTTCAGTCATCGGCAAAGAACATCAGCATGGATGGTCTGAATCAGCTTCAGACCTGTGCTCCAGACTCTCACCATAGGGTGCAGCCTGCAGCAATGTTTGTAAGACACGGGTAATGTTTATCAGTTTATCATGTCTCCTGTCTCCTTTCTTACCATCGCACAAAGGATCCCAGATTGCACGATACAGTGGAATCACGGTTTCCCGTGTGCATTACTTTTGCACAGAACATGTTTATGCTGGCCACACCCAGCGGAGAAGAGACTAATACTGGTAGAAGAACGAGGCAGAGATAGAACCAAATGAACCAAACATCACACTGTATATGAATTCCAGTTCCTCAAAGCAAGTCGTTTCAGTGGGCTTTGATTAAGTACCAGAGATGAGGCGTTCCAGATAGAGGTAGTAACTAGAAACATGTAGATGAACCCGAAAAGCTGCAGCTTCACACATGGGATCACAAGGGCCCTCAAAGGTAAAACTTCCACGTATCAATACTTCTTCATCAAACTGATAAGTAGGAGCGGAAAGCATGTTCGGGTCAGAGATTCCTGCTCGAAAGAACATGTTGATTCCCAATAGTGTGGGGCCTTTGACCGAGTTTTGAGTCCTCGATTCCTGAGTGCATTTGATTGCAGAACTGGTTTGAAGTTTCCGACTCGCGATTCGAATTGGGAAAGGCCTTCAAAGTTCACAGAATCTGGGGCACAAGCACTAGAATCACCTAGAAGCCTCCATTAGAGGTGCAAGACAAGATTTGTTTGGAGCCTTGGTCAGCTTATTCTCCGGACACCTCAAAACACAAGATAAAACAAAAGCCACAAGCGGCACATACGGCATACGCATGAAGAGCTTCCTTCACTTGTAGTTATAGTTGCTTGAACAAAGGGTTCGGAGCCCCATACTGAATGTACCTGCCTTTCACCATGGCAACACAACCTTCATTTCCAGCAAGCGCCCAGGCAATAATGTGTACTGCGAGGCGCATCCAACAAAAATCCGGTTTTTCGGTCCCATAGTGCAGGTTACGTAGGGCCCATAGTCCGAAGCCGCACTGCTCTTAGGGGTCGCCACGAGAGCGAGGACACGGAGCAGCGAGAGTCGGAGCCGCAACTTGGAGCGATTTCAGTACCTTTGCAACGCGACAGTTCAACATTTTTGTGGAAAGCTGTCATGTCCACTGGTTCTGATCTTGCTTGGTTTGGGTGGTTCAATGGTATTGTGAACTGTTCTTTCCCCCTCAACTGAACAGCCACTATACTGATGCTGTCATCCATCGTTTCGCTAGCTTGGCCGATTTGAGGGCATCACCAGAGCTGAGCCAACTGTCGGGGTGCTTGAGGTGGGATTGATTCTTCCTCAGCCAGCATGGAGGTACACCCAGGATATTTGAAGAATCGCCAAAGCTGCCGCCTGTGCACGGCCTGTTTGAATCACCATCCTACATGGAGTTCATTAGGATACTATGGTCCACCGCAACCACTTTGGGGTCACACATTTGCAGTGCAAGCAGTTAGTGTTCCTATGCGTCCGACTTGCCATGAGGTTGCATCCTGCTGCAGCGCCCGTGTCTCGGCAGAAACCAAAGGGTTTAGTTTTGATTCCTTTAAGCAGTGTCTCTGGCTGGGTTTTTGACCTCATACGGAAGCAGAAGCAGGACAGTGGCCAAGAATGCTTGTGGTAACTTGTGCCTCCACTCAAGGAGTTGCTGAGGGACTGGCACTTCCCTCAAGGGTTTGATGGCTCACATTGGCATTGCAAGAAAACTATTCGATTTGAGCTGACAGTTCAGTTGGCAAGTGGAAAGGAGCAGAAGTGGGCTTTGGCTTCGGACTCGCTGTCAGTGAGTTGCACTTGGTGTTGGCAGGTTGAAGCTCAGAGGAAGGCTCAGAGGCGGGGTCGCCCGTCAAGGGGTTCTTTGAGTACAGTAGTTGTTCAATGTTTTGCCAACACTGTTTTTGCATGTGTTTGCTTTGCTGGCAGATGTGGACGTAAAAGCCTGTAGTAAGGTGGATGTGTTGTTGGAACAAAGCGCCAAGGAACTT